AATTCAAAGAGACAATGCTGAGAGGATTTCAAAATCATACTGAAAAATTACAAGTAAATTTTTCAAAAATAAATATTCGTTGTAGATTTATTCCTGTCAGATTCAAATTAAAATAATGTTTTATTAAATTATGCAATCACCAAATCAATAAAAAGTTTTATAGAATTATTTTTTTTAAATTTTAGAACAAATTAAAAGAAACAAAAATGTCATCCCCACACACACATACTAATTTTAAAGGTATTCATGATATATGAAAATAATGAAATAACCTGTTCAGTATACAATGCATTCAATCATAAGTACTGAAAAATTCATTTAAATTAGATAATTCCATGATTTTTGGTAATTTTTCAAATTCAGGAGATAACCCTCTTTTGCTTTCATTTCAGGAAAAAAATACATCAATTATGGCGGCACGTAGTATATACAAACTAGCCACAGTTCCTGTTGCTTCTTTTTAAGGTTCTAAGCTTTCCAACTAGCTTCAGTCATTATCAAAAATAAAAGAAATACTACAAAGCGACAATCAGTCTTTTCTCCAAGGTAATTTTAAGTACATTTTTTTTTATAGTTCAAGGGAGTTAACTAACGATACATAGGTTATCTCCCTTCAATAAACAGGTTAACACAGTCGCCTTTGCTCATTCACCTGAAACTACTAAAATTTAGTTTTTCTTATAAATCTCCTATTTCAAAATAATATCAGGCGGAAGTCTGAGAAACTCATCCTCCCAGTCAGTACCTCTCCTTGGGAGGGGAGTGGGGTCATTAACCCGGTATTTGAGGCGTCCCCAAAAGGGGAAGTACAGAGGGGCATTGAGTAAATTTTCCACAATATTGACACACTGAAAAATTCAACATACAGACAGGGCCTATGCAAAGGTCTCGTGACCCCCACCGAATCTATGATACGCCTCCCACTCTACTACATCTCAATTTTCATAAGGTAGTATTCATATAAAATACAAATTTTATTATAACCTAAATATGTTCAATAATGGATCATAGGTGAACAATTCAACTAGAAGAATTGAAAATAAATGCAATGTATCTAAATACAAATTGGAGACATGTCATAATAGACCATTCCATCTTAAATAAATCAAGAATGTTTTTGTGACAATTTTTATCGAAATCCACAAAAATTTTACATCCCTTAATAGTTGTGCTTTGTTTAATTTATAATGTATATAAATGTAGGTAGAAAAAAAAGCAAACTTTGGTAAAATAGCAAGGGTTACAAAGCACTTTTTGGGACTGTCAATCAGGACATCCCTTGACGGGGAGGATAGGGGCGCATAGTATACACCAGCCCTGCATACCCGATAAAGTTTAATTTAGGCCTAATAAGAGATTAACAACAATAATAATAAAAAAAAATATAACAATATGCTGTAATAAAATTTAAGTGAGAGATAAATTTGTTCTTGCTATAGATCTTAACATGTTTTTGTTTTTTCCTCCCTTATTGCAGACTTTCTTTTCATTTAAATACATTTTATGGCCTTTCTTTGACATAGACATATTTCCAGTTGCCTTATTCTTATAAATTAAAAACATTAAATGAAACGTATGAGTTGACTATTTTCCAAGAGTAAATTAGGATGGAGTCCTAAAGTCACAGGACCCTCACAAGTTCAAAAAGAGGCAAGTTTAGAAAAGCTGCAATCTTTAATGTGTTGGCTACCTCTCTGTATAAGGTTTTCTTACAAAAATATTTTACAATACATAAATTAATGTTAGTGAAAAGGTAAATGCTCAAAATAACAGAGACTGCTTTGCAATGCAAGATAACGTTTATTAAACAAAATAACAAAAAGTAAAGTTTAAGAGTTTCTTTTCCTAAGAATAAAATGAACATTATTTACATTATTCGGACTATTGTCCTCATCTTTGTCACCATATTTAAATATGGCAACAAAGATGAGGACAATAGTCTGAATAATGTAAATAATGTTCATAATACCTCATCTCAGAAATATAGACAGATACTGAATAAAATGGAATATGCAATTAAAATTGTTAATGAATGCATTTTAGTGTTACTTGCTTGTTTAGGTGTGTTTGTGCGTGTGAAGCATCCACAGCCCGTTTTGCTTCAGTGTGAAAAGTTGATGGCACACACTTTGAAAGGAAGGAAAACAGGATGAGTTACTTAAGGTTTTGCTTGTTTTTATATGCTCAGGGTTGCTGCTGATACTATGTTTATTAAGGACTGTGGCTGATACTATGTTTTATAAGAGAAGGAAAACAGATTTTTAATCTCTACTGCCTTGCTGCCATACCCAATCATGGGAAAGGCTTCATTAGTAAACCCTGGGGAAAAATCCAGAGCTGGAGTTTCTAAGACAGTCCGGGGAAATTCAAATTCCAAGTTGGTATCTGATAATTTGCTTCATGGTTTGAAAGAAGTGTTAGCCTTGGGTGGCAGCCCTTCTAGAGATGGTGTCTTGACAAAAAAACAGCCAGACGTAGGGTTGACATAACACATTTCATATCAGCTACCGAAAGAACTATCATGACCTCCACTAACTGCATCAGGGTTCCAGCCCCAGCTTACCCAGTTCAAACATTGTTTCTCATGAAACAGATGACCAGTCATCTCTCAACTCTTTGGAGAGAGAGAGAGAGAGAATTGCGAACAAAAACAAAAAAAAATACATCAAAGTTCATGAATTGCAAAACTCCTATTGTCTACAGCACTTTAGTGAATTCACCAGTAACCTTCAAACCACATTCATTACTCATTACTACCCAACTAACACAAATGACAAAAAACTAGTAGACGACTTTTACTCTGATCTGAAGAGAGTAACATCATCATTTGTCGACCGTAGTCAGGATCATTGAGCCAATGTGAACGATCCTTTCTTTAGCTGTATAGTATGTGCTATGCCAGGGCTACAGTTTTGAATTCAGAGTTACCTTTTCCTAGACCAGTTGCCACCTAAGGCTTGAAAGATGGAAGTAAATATATATTTTATTTATCATAAGTCATAACATATAAACAAGTAATCACAAAAAAGACGCATATTTGTTTCGATGCTTAAACCTAAGCATCTCATCAGGTGGTGAACAAAGATGGTTATAAACGATCTTATTTAAAAATGCTACTTATGAAACATCACTTCCTTTTTATTTATAAATTTAAGAAGATATAAGAATTACCATTGAAAGAAAAGAAAAAAAATAATAATATATGCAGGTTAAAGCAGAAAAAAGAAGAGGATAATTAAACAATAAAAGGAAAAAGAAAGAAGAAAGAAAAATATAAAAAGTTAAAAAAAAATAAAGCAAAAAGAAATCATCCTTCTCCAAAAAAAAGGATAGAAAAGAAGAGAAGAGGAAAATGAAAAGGAGTAATATATCAAAATTAATTAATACACAAAGAAGACAATAGAAGTTGTTGATAACAATTCAGCCAATGAAAAAACGTTAACATTGAGAGAGAAGTCATACAGAAAGATTCAAATTTTACCAGATATGGTTGCAACATAGAAAATATTTTATTTAGATACAATGTAACAATTAAAGTTTATTTGGTATTTTTGAAAGAAACCAACCAAATTAAACAAAGTATGTAAATAAAATTTTCATCTGAATTTTTCACCCACTGTTCATTATTGTGGATTAGGACTGATTTTCTACAGTTCAAGATGATATTAATTTCATCCTTAGAAATGTTGGAATAAACCTCAGCAAATTCCAATGCTATTTTGAACAGGTCTTTAGAAATAGTTATTTTTGTATGCCTAATGTTTTTACTTCTTTAAATGCCTTTTATTTACATACTGTGTTTAATTTTGTTAAATAATATGTTGGTTTCTTTCAAAAACGCCAAACTTTATTTGTTACATTGTATCTAAAATATTTTCTATGTTGCAACCATATCCGGTAAAATTTGAATCTTTCTGTATGACTTCTCTCTCAATGTTAACGTTTTTTCATTGGCTGAATTGTTATCAACAACTTCTATTGTTTTCCTTTCTTTCTCTTTTTTTCTTTGTATTAATTAATTTTGATATATTACTCCTCTTCATTTTTCTCTTTTCTTCAGCAAAGGGATGATTTTTTACGATTTTTTTTTTAACTTTTTATATAGGTACCTTCATGAGATTGCTAAAAAAAAGCATAGCATGACAAAAAAGATGCCAAACAAAACTTTATCATCTAAATGTTTGTTATTATTAAGAGGAAAGATCAAAGTATTTTGGAGGTATTTTTTTACATTTTTTAATCATTCCTAACACGTCCAAAATTTTCATTAAAGGTCTTGTTTTTCTTAATCAGAAAAATTGACAGATAATCATGTCAACCATTTTTTTCCATTTAAAAAAAATATGAAAATCTCAGTTTGAAATTCTTTTAAAAATTAATTTTTTCAAAACTTATTTTAAAAAAGTTAGAAATTATATTTATTTAAAATATTTTGAAACAAGCTTAACTTAGTTTCTGCACCGAAAAGATGTAATTTGAAAATAAATCAAAGCAGGTCATAACATTTCGCGTCACTTGACAGGTGACGAAAGACATTTTCATGACGTATTGATTGTTTACGTGAGGATAATTTATTAAATTTCATAAAATTGAAATAAGACAACTCATTGAAAACTGTAAAACATCACAAAATTGAAATTGCAATGAAATATGTAAATTAAATAAATGGTACTTTTAAAAATGTAGTAATGTTGCTGCTGAAAATGGCTTAGTATGGTGTTCAAATTTTTTTTAATTAGTAAAAACACCAATTCAAAATGCTCAACATGTGTTTCACACGAAGAATTTGCAATAATGAAATGGATATTCAGCAGAGAATGCTTACACTCAAGCTACATGACGTTTTATTGCTTGTGACCTTCCGTACTTTTTAATTACAGCCATTTTAACAACTTTTATGAACACAAAATTATATATCTTAATTACTGCAGGTCTTCTGATTGGACAAAGCGATACAATTTACAAAGCGCTAAAAAATGATTTGTCTCATAAGGACATTTACAAAAGTGAATGTTTCATAATATTTTAACAACTTAAATGCAAAAGTCTGAAATAATTAAAGAAATAATATATAATTGTATTAAAAATTCATTTTTCATCAAAAAAACTTTTTGCTTTCAGAAAATATTGTCCATATTCATAAAAGCAAATAAAAGTATTTAAAATTAAATAATATTTTTGTTTTATTGGAGTTTTGTATGTTACAATTCAGGGTTGATTTTTCTAATTAAAAAAAAAAAAAAAAAAAAGCATGATTATGCTTTCCTGATTATAATCACTAAACTGAACTCAACTGAATTTCTAGAGTTTTCATAAAATTAGTTATGCAGGTGGTAATAAATATAAAAATATATTTCTGGCATGACTTTAATAAAAAAAAAAAAAAAAAAAAAAAAAATCATTTATAATAATTTCCATCATCTGTGAATAGTTTCCGGAAGTTTCATTAACATCTGACAATTATTTTTATTTTTGCAAGATTTTCCAAATTAATGTGTCACACAAAAAAAAAAGTGCTAAAAATTGTGTTATTTTACTAGTTCTGGTGATACAAAGAGAAACAAGTTTTTCAATCAAAATTTAGAATGTTCTAAGGAGGAAAAATTTTTTAAAAAATAATTAATTAAAAAAAACTTTGGTTTTTCCTCTTAATAATAACAAACATTTAGACAATAACATTTTGTTTTCATCAAGTTTGGCATCTTTTTCATCATGCTATGCTCTTTTTTTCACAATCTCATGAAGGTACCTATTTTTATATTTCTCTTATTTCTTTTTCCTTTTATTGATTTATTATCCTCTTCTTTTTTTCTGCTTTAACCTGAATATATTCTTTTCTTTCCCTATTATGGAAATTTTTATATATTTCTTTTCATTTTATGGCAATTCTTCTTATGTCTTCATAAATTTTTAAATAATGTAGAAAGAAGTAATGTTTCATAAGTAGCATTTTTAAATAAAATCGTTTATAACCATCTTTGTTCACCACCTGATGAGATGCTTAGGTTTAAGCATCAAAACAAATATGTATCTTTGTTGTGATTACATGTTTGTTCGTATGTAACAACTTATAATAAATAACTATTGTTCTACTTTTGGTATCAAGCTCTCTTTTAAATTAATGTTATGAACGTTTGAATTTATATTCTTTTTGTTTTCATTACATTTGGATATATATATAAAATGTATTAGCCACTTGCTTACAATATGGGTGAAGGCAGGTAGGTTTGTTTCCTATTGTCGCAGTAGGCTGCTTAAAAAGGTGAAGAAAGAAAAGGTGTGTGTTGTTACATGTACCAGAACAGTATAGCCTTCTAAAGTCACAAGCTGGTCATGCAAATATCACATTTTGGTTCTGGCTACGTTATGATGATTGCAGCATCGCAGAATGGACAAAATGTATTTATCAAATCTGGTTTTTGCTGATTTTACATCTGCTTTATTCATATCTATAAATCCACGTACAAAAGATCATTCTGCTTCTCAGTGCCTCACAGTCTTATAACCTGATTGTGAAAGCTTTCCGATTGGTAGATCAAACTATATATTTTTAGAAATGATGAAATTTTGGTCTCCTTGTTATTTATTTCTTTTCTTACATCCTTGTTATGAAACCTTTCTGATTGAGTGGTTGAAGTATGGCTTTGTGGCCTGGGGATTCTGATTATCCATCTATTTTTAGAAATGGTGAAACTTTGGTCTTCTTGTTATTTTTTTGTTTTTTCTTTAATTTATTTCTTCATCACAAACTCCTCATCCCAGAAATTCAGACAGAATCTACACTCAGTAAATCTCTCATTTCCTTTGAAAAACCTAGACGCAAGGATAAGCAATTTCTTTTGATGAACATTCCTACAACCGAATAGTCATAAAAGTTCTTGATGTATTATACATTTAAAAACACCACAATAATCCTATTATTTTTTGAGCATTAGAATGAAATATAAAGCGACCTACCTCATTTAATTGGCCTTTTCTTTTTCTCATATGTGATTCAAATACTCTTTGGATACTTCTATAAAATAAAATAAAAAAATACATTTTTACTTAACTGTTATCAAAAAAAAAAAAAAAAAAAAATCATCTCTAGTTTTAATTTACCATAAATTGTGACATACAAGTAGAGTTTTCAAGCCAAAAATTCTTTCAAAATATTAACTTATATGACAGGTATAAAATGCAAACCTTTACCATTGAGTTGTAAACAAGTGGGACAACACTCCTAACAATTACTGTACACTACTTACTGTAAGTCTAGCAGGCTGTCACAAATATATCCTACTAAAAATTGTGTTTGGTGAACATATTTGATATATTAACATAGAAATTAATATAAAGTAAAATAATAAAATAGTAACACAAATTCAGTATTCTATTAATGCTACAGCACACATTGCATCCAACAGCTGATACACCAAGCGTAAATACTGACCAAAGTGCCATTTCACCATAGGTATGATATGTATGTCATCTGCACAATTTCATGATAGTAATAACATCTATCAAAGCTACCTGGTATGATGTGTAATCTGCGGTATTAATATTTTATAGGAGTTGATGTTGACTTTAACATGTTTATCAGTAGACCCCACAAATTTTAAAAGTTCAAGTTATACAAATACAATATACAGTACCTACCAGTGCATGCTGTAGGTTACTTGGTATACAACACATATAGAAAGATATTACAGTTACTGTCTCAATATACAGAAGTGATGTGACCTTTCATAGTTTTGACACATGTTATCGTATACTGTGGCCTAACTTCATTTACTGGGAGGCCTAAGTTTTTTGGGGGTTTTTTTGAGCCAAAAATTTTGAGGTCAACTTGTATGCCAGGTCAACTTGAATGCCACAATTTACAGTAAATGATTCCTAAATATAATCATAAAGTATAAAGAAAGAATAACAGAATTTTTAGTTTTGAACACAGAGGTACTGACAAGAGATGTTGAAAATGAGGTGAGATTTTGGTAAACAGCAGCAAAGTTAAGGAACATTTCAAGAAGTCAATTATGAGAAATAGCAAAAATGTAGACAAGTCAATTACATCTACATGTCATTTAATGCACTCAGAGGTATAGCTCATCAAATTAAAGTTAGTGATGAAATATCAGTCCTTCTGTATGACAGTGAATGCTAGACAATCTCCTCAAAGAGGAAGAGAAAACTTTAGGTAGCAGAAATGTCGTTCTTCAGGAAGATGATGAGGATGCCATGGACCAAACAGGAGTTTTAGAGAAAATGAAAACAAAAAGGAAACTTATACTTAACATCAGGAAAAGACAGTTGAAATTTCTAATGCACATAATGAAGAAAGAGGGCTTGGAAAATTTGATACTCACAGGACAGATCAAAGGCAAGACGGACAGAGGAGAATTACACATAACCTACTTAGTGAGCTTGAGTAAATGGATGATGGAACAAGGTTTCAGAGAAATAACATAAAGAGCTAAAAAGGACAGGAAATTGTGGAGAGGCATGATCACCTATGTCCTGAAGAGACATGGCTTATAGAAGATGAAATATCAAAATCACCAGTAAGATCTATTTAAAACATTTGTTTGAATTCTCAATAAATTGTGAAGTGTGAGATAGTTCCGGCACTCAGCCTTTTAATGAAAGATTTTTTTTATGGCATATCAACCTCAATGGGTTATTTAATGCTGACAAGATTTTTATTGCTGGTAATATTTTTTCAAAAAATATATTGCTGGTAATAATTTTTTACAAAAATGTTTTGCTGGTATTAAAACCTATTTTTACACTTTCATAGTGCTTTGACCCCAGCTTGGTGGTTAACTATATACCCATAATGCAACCTTAACAGGTACTACCACCTTGGGTCAGGGTGGACCTGGGAACATCAGCAATTAAGAGGTGGTTCCACACTCCTCAAAACCTCTTGATCAGAGATCTTGCTGTTGGATGTAGTTTATTTCTTACCCAGGATGTTTTTAAGGAAAGAGTTTTCTATGAAAGCGATACAGGATTCAAGTACATATCATAGAGAGTGGGTTTTTTTTTTGTTTTTTTTTTAAGGTCTCAGCACCTTTTTGACTAGAGAGGAAAAGAAAAAAAAATTAATTTGCAACATTCTATTTACCTTGCAACAAACAACAAAAAAAAAAGATGAAAAAGGAAAGTGTCCTTAAGGAAAAACAGAATATGCAATGGAAATCAAGAAATAGAAACAAAGAAAAGAAAAAAGAAAAGAAAAAAGAAAATCTCTTGTTTAAAGAAGGAAAGAAATGAGGAAGAAACAGAATGAATTAAATGGGGAAATAGAAGGCTTAAGCAGAGAAAAGAAGAAATAAAAGAATAAAGAAAAATAAAGTCAGGTAGTTGGTCTCCATGGAAACAGGGTAAACAATAACTGAGCAGTACTAAAAAAAAAGTTGAGATATCCCTAGACATGAACAGTAGAACTAGAACAATCTACCACTGTAAATTAAAAAAGGTTCCAGTTTGAAATTGTCTGAAGGTTACCTGAAGAAAACCAGAGAGCACAACAGTTGAAAGAGTAAATAATGTAAATAAAGTGATTACTTGTCACAGGTGGTGTTGTGATATCAGCTGATATCTTGCTTAGGACCCACCTGCAAAATGTCACAGAAATTGTTTTGACAATTATCTGTCTTGGCAAAAAAGTTCAGCTTAATGGAGTGGACCTCCCAAGAACCAGGACAAATAATCTTGACAAAGAAAGTCACTTAGTGAAGCCAGATCCCAAGTTCTTCATGATGAAAGACATTTTAAGATTAGAGCAAAGAACACTGTTCTCTATAAAACAGTGGCCCCTAAAACAGAGAGACCCATAGAGAGGACAGAGAGATCACTTGCACACTATGCAAAAGGAAAACATGACTGTTAGGCGGTTCACTCCCCTACCCTACAGCAAAAGGTTAGAACCAGAATAAAATTTGCCTACTGTTACAATTTTGTCTTATGGTTTTATTTTGAAGGCCATGTGTTATTTTTTAAGCCACAAGCATTTGACTGGAAAAAGCTGCACTCTGAGAACAAACTTGGTGCCTGGTCTGAGCTGCAATGCTACAGTGGAAAAAAGAAAGAAAATAGAAAAAAATATAGTAATTTACTAAGTGTAGCTTAAATGCAGCACAAGGCTGAAAGAATAGAGCACCTAGTGAGGAAAATAGAAAGAAAATATATGATGGAAAAAAAAAAAAAAATGTAAGGTTTTGAAAGAGAAAAAAAAATAATAATTTCACTGTTTTAGTTTAACTAATATATATATATATATATATATATTTTTTTTTCTGAGATGAGGTATTGTAATTATTTACAATTTTACATTGTTCGGACTGTTGTTCTCATCTTTATTGCCATATTCACAATGTTTGGATGTTGTATGCTTTGGCCTTTTTCAGATGATTGGAATTTTGAACTGAATCCTTTATTTCGTCCATCGGGGTAGATTTTTCTAGTTCCATGTGCCATGCCTCTTCCAGATATTTCAGTATCAAGTATTTCCCTTTATATATATATATATATATATATATATATATACACACACACACACACACACACAGCTGATAGGATTGGAAAAGGAACAAATATTTATTTTGCTTTTAATTAAGCTTCATCAGAAATTAAATAGGAGGGAGAAAAGAATTCTGATAATTTTTTATTTTTATGTTGATTGTTTTCCATTGGTTAAGTAGATCTTATGTGTATTTATCTTGTCAGATAACGTTCACATGTATAATTCATATGTGTTTGTGTATCATAATTCTAGTTGGCCTATGCAGGATTTGGTGGATAATGCATTTGCACGTCTAGTGGTCATTTTCTGTCTGGTAGTGGGTGGTGTTTGTAGGAATGTTTTGTGTTTCTCTGGAGGTCATGTTGTCGTGTGTGTGTGTGTGTGTGTGAAAATATATAGAATAGGAAAGAACTTGTTAGGTAAATAATCCAAAGTTCTTTAGTATTTTTGTTATTATTTTTAAAAAACAGTGCTCGATACAAAAGTAGAGCCTAAATATAATTATTTATTTAAAAATATGATTCCATCGCTACATAAGAGTTCTCATGTTTCAAAACAAGTGCGAAAACTTCAATATAATTATTTAAATTAAATTAAAAGTACCAAGCTCTGTTCCATCTTAAAAGCAAAATTTTTTTTTTTGAATCAAAATATATATATATATATATATATATATATATATATATATATATATATATATATATATATATATATCAGTGCATCACACTTTTCCAATTAAAAGGACACAACTCTAATTTTCAATAGCTCATGTTAGAGAAATTTTGGATACCCAAATTTCATTACTACGATTGTTTTATACGATTTTTTGTAACAAGTTTTTTGGTACAATAACAATTTTTATAACTTGAAAATAAATTTGATAATAATGAAAAGTAATTATGAAATCCAACAAAAGTTATCCATGAAATAAAACTAATTTTTTGTACAGGTAGTAAGGACCTACACACATCAAATTGTCTTTAAATTAATTGGTGGCAGAAGAATTATTGTTGAACTTATAAAAGGTAAGCTTAAATATTAAAGCAATGATCAATTTTTGAGTTCTTCTGTAGCTTATTGTTTATACAGCAGCATTATGCCTCACAAAAAGAAATCTACACCAATAGAGGACCAGATTGCAATCAAAAGAGCCACTGCAGCGAGGAAAAGAATGTCCCATGCAAATGACAACTCAAAGCAAACGGCAACTAAGAGAGCTTCCAATTTTGAGAATATGCAAAGACTTAGGGATTCCCAAACTCTTGAACAAGCCAAAGTCCTAATCAAGAGCCCTTCACAGGAGCTAGGTTAAATGCCGCCCAATAGGGTGGTTTTTAAGCTACTATATATATGTAAAATGAAAACAAATAGGATCCAATTCCGACGGTGGTATCAACACATATTGTCTTTACTAATAATACTTATAGAAATAATAAGTCACTTTCAAAATATTTTTAGAGGTTAAAAGATGAAAATAAAACTCCTAAAGTGAAATGGAAATTTTTAAAACTGGCAAGGAAATGTAGATCTTTATATGAACCTTGTTTTCTGTGTTTGCAGAAAAAAATGCAGATTATCAGGTTCTTGAATAGCAATGCTTTATTAAATCAATGATTTGAATTAACAGTTAATTGTAAACATATCCTATCTTTGACTCTACAATCTTGCTTGACTTTGAAATTTGATAATTGCTTTTTCTTATATTTTAGTTAAACCATGTTCCACCATATAAGGCTTACCTTTCTGTCAGTAAGATCAATTTAGATCAGTATAGATGTACTGGTGTTCAGCTGACATTTTGATATTTTGCATTGATTTTATTAACACCCAATATAAAAGGTCCTGTAGTTAACAGTTGCATTCTATTTTATTTTGTTTGATCTATATATTTAAATAATTTCATTTGATCTATACCGTTAAATAATTTTATTAGATCTATATGTTATAATAATTTTGTTAGATTTATTTGTTAAACTTTCCTTTTATTTCTTAAAAGTCTGGTTTATTTACCAACTATAAAAATGTGAAATTTTAATTTTTTTTAACTCTCAGGGTATGTAGTTTGTTGAGTATCTTGTTAAATTATGTTTCTTCTCTCAATGACAGTTGTCTAATGTATAACTTTTGTAACCAATTTGCATCCATACCAAATATGACGTTTAGATGTCATCTAAGATACTAAATCTGTGGATCATGACCTCTTACATATGATTGCTTCTTTCATTTTTTCCCCCCTTACTTTGAACTTAGTGTAGACGATTCTGATTGGTTGATCTGAATATAAACAAGTCCTGCTACTATCCCCTCTCTTTTCTTTCTTACTCTTTTTCTTTTCTTTCTTTTTCTCAAGAAAAGAGGGTGTATCTTGTGTTTTTCTTACTCTTTTTCTTTTATATTAAGAGGGGGTATGTTGTTTTTAAATCTCAATAAATTGTCTACTCACCAGTCATTTACTAATGCCTGATGAGATGTGCTAATACAAATCAAAACATGATTGCATATGTATAATGTTTTTACATGTTTTTGATGTAATATCCTAAAATAAAGTATACACACACACATATATATATATTATATTATATATATATATATATATATATATATAAATAAAATGTGTGTGTGTGTGTGTATATGACAACATGACCTCCAGAAGGTAAAAGTTGAAGTATTTTAACCATGCAAATTTGTGTTAAGACCCATAAAAAATGTCCAGTCTCTCTCTCTCAGCTTTATGCCTTCAAAAATACAAATGCTTTCAAGACGTTGAAGAAGATATTTAAAACAGAAAAAGAATCATCTCTGTAGCTGTTGCAGCCTGAGGTTTTCTTCTCCAAAGTGTTTTTGCAAACATTTTGGCTTTCTCAATGATCATCACCACCACAGATGATCAATTAGCTGAGAGAAACATGACCCCTTCAGAGGGCAATATCATGCATCAGAACAAGTGACAACAAAACAACCCCCCCACTTCAATACAACAACAACAACCCCCCACTTCAACAGGTAGATGTTCATCCAAGTTATATGAACAAGTGACAAGAAGGCTTTCCTGCAACATTATAGAACAATATCTAAAGCTCAGAGCCTGCAGTTTAATGCTCTAGTTATTTACATATGCAAGAACTTAATCATCCTTACCTGTTTGTATATAATCCTTTCATTAAGATCTCTTCAGTGACCTCCTTCATGAAAGTTGTGTAGTCAGCTTCCTCCCTAGAATAAGAACAATTTTTGTTTCAATAACTCCAAGAGATAAAAATGAAATATTACAAGCTACCGTCACCAAAAAGAAAAACGCTTTTTAAATAAATTTAAATATCATCTTTGAAGTTTAATTTTGGCTTAATTTGAAAGGTTATAGCTTAAAGTTAAAATGTAATAAAAGAAAAATGGATTTACACCAATAAATAAATTTTTAGAGATTTTTAAACCACTTCCACCCAGTTCAATGAGAAAATTGATGGATCCCAACAAAAGAGAAATTAAAACACTTCAAAAAAAATTTCTTACAATTCCAATATGTCACAAATATTTGTTTCATAGAAAAATAGTAAACTTAAGGATTAATTCATTAGATTCTGTAAAAATATAGTGTAAAATACATTTTTACCAGTAGCATATGTACTAACTTGTCAACACATTCAAAGGTCAAACAATTTCTATCTTACAACCCCTATTTCCCTACAAAATTGTCACCTAAAATCCAGTTAAATATGAAAGTTCACACTTAGTACAATATTAGCCGTTTTTATATTCAGAGTGGAAGTGTGTTAGTCACAGGACATAATTCAGTATTTTATTTTTCATAGTTTCATAGAATTAAAAAAAAATGTTAACTGAAAAATGGCATTAAACTACATTTTTTGATTCTTCAAACATATCTTTATTTTATATCAATTTCATCAGCAATGATCAAGATGTGGAAGAGTTTTAAAATCATACTGTGTAAATGCAAGTCAATTTTTCACAAAAAATATCAGAAAATCTTAATTTTCTTCAATTCTTTTAAGATTTAGGACCATATTTTCAATGTGTTCACACACAATTTTCATTTTCTTTTTGTTGATATAACAATTCAGCATTATAAAATGTAAAAATTTAAAAATTGCTAGCAATAATTAGTCATCTTTTAAGTAAATGGGATTTATAACTGACATGAAAAAATATTTCTACAAAACATTTTTTCAGTTAAAAAAAAAAAAAAAAAAAAAATATATTAATATATAAAAAAATAAAATATATAAAAATATTTGTAGGAATTTATTTTTCCTGACATATAGGTATAATGGGTTGGATATATAACCTACAAAGTATACAAATGATTCCAGAGATAACCAAATCTAGAAAAATCAAAAAAAGAATTGTTACAGATTAAAAAAAAAAATAAAAATTAAAAAAATTAAAAAAAATAAAAATATTGTCATAGTTTTCAAAATGGCTTACCATTTAGTTTCCAAAATCGATCGTGAGCTATGTTCAGAATTCAGGTTCACATGTTTTTTCTTTCGTTGATTTTTTGGTGTCATCATATGATTCGAACCATATTCTTTGTCTCTTGATTCACTACCATGAGTAGTCAAACTTTCAGATTTATTAAGACCACCTAGCCCCTTAGGCAAATCCATTGCAGACTGAGAGTGCAAAAGTTTTACATGGCCCGCTGATGACACTGGAGGTGACCTCTTCGATGACGTCATCTGCTCTGACAAAGATTCCTTGTGGTCTTCATCTGCAGGAATTTCAAGAGGTGGCACTTTTTTACATTCTTCATTCAAGTACTGTGTCTTAGAGGATAGTGTTGGTGTATCTCCAGGATTAGCCTTTTGCCTGGGTTTTGGAACTGGAGCCTCTCCCTTACCACTTTCCCTCACATCAGAAGACAATTTAGGCTGATTTAAATCACCTGGGTGCTGCTTGGGTTTTATTCTCTTAGGTGGATTGTAGTATTTATATTGGTTCAGTAACGATGTCCGATTAGATTTAAGTATTTTTGGTACAAATGGTTTCTCAGGTTCAGTAAACAGATGAGCCCTAGTGCGCAACAGATCCTGTTCTTCTCTGCGGGTTGAGGAGCCAGGTCTTCGCCCAGTTCCTTGCTTTTCAGAGTTTGAAACAAAGGATGGAGCAGCAAAGCTCATTTGTGACATCGAGGACATTTTCCTACAACGGCTTGTGCTTCTTAATGTATCCTCAGAAGTGGCATTTGTTTGCCTATTGTAGTCTTTTGTACTCTGGGTATAGAGAGACCCTTGAAGATCTTGGCTTCTACCATTAAGGGTCATTTGTACAATACGCTCCACCTCTGCTTCTAGGTCATCACCATATTTATCCTGAAAGCATAATATATACTTTAAAACATTAAACTTTTTTTTTTTTAATTGCACTAGTGTGCACTGAATAAAAGAACGCAATAACCAAAGAGTGTAGAGCATTACTGAATGGGGTTACTTTATGGACATAAAAAAAAAATTGTAGATTATGAGGTACTCTAGGATAGATAACAGTTGACCCTGAACTTGAAAAATGTTAAGATTGTAGCAGTTTGGGAAGCAGCTCTTGGGAAGAAGTGATCCAAATGGAACATCTTTTTTTTTTTAATCATTTCATGCCAAGCAAGGCAATAAAGCCACTAAGACACAAGGGGAGTTATTGAGTGTTAGAGAATATGAAAAATAAAAGTAAATCACAATTAAGCAGAGAGAACAATTAAAGAAAAAGAATTTAGACAGAAGATAGTGATTGACATTACATTTAAATTTTTGAAGATCGAAGTTGACTGGGGAGCAAGAAGCTGGAAGAGAGTTCCACAAGCGAGAAGTGCAATAGAAGAAACTGTTAGCAGAGAATTTGTCTAGCTGTTTCAACTTACCAATGGAATATGAAGGGAACAAGGATGGTTTTCCCCTGTGTATATGGTATGGAGGATATTAACTGTAAAGGTCCGAACTGGTGGAACTAAAGAATGTAACTCATCAGAATATTTTCCATGGAAATAGCAGAAGAGTAACTAAAGGCATGAAACATTACATCTATAGGATAAAGGTTCTAGAGAGGAAAATAATTAATCACCTACAAGGTTGCATTATGCTTTCAAACTGTGTCAAAGGTGGAAAGAGAGGATGAAGCAGTTCCAGCCCAGATAAGGCAGCAATACTCCATTTTTGATCTGATCTAACTCTTGTACAGATAGACCATGGCAGCAAGAGCCAGATACTTTCAGAAGCAAGGAGCTAAGCATTTCTCCAACATCTTTAGCAATGGATTGTATATCCGAGTTCCACTTGAGGCCTGGGGTAAAATCGAGCCCCAATAGAAACTCAAGGCAAGGACCCTCATCAAGAGTGCAACCATTAAGATATTTCTATCATCCACTTCACACTCCTCCCTAGCCTTTTAAACAGGAGTAGATGTTTATCCCTTGTTTCTAGTTTAGGAGTGGGTTTCCAATTCCTTCTAAAGTCTTTTCCTTTTCTTTCATTTTCAGTGGCTCCTTGCATCTTGGTGCTATTATCTCCTTGTTTGCCTCTTACTCTGTAACCCTCTACCTAGAGTAGCTCTTGGGCCTTGTACAGAGTGAACAACATTGTTGTAATGTATCATTAATTATTTTTTTTACTATATCTTTTCCTTTCATTCTTGATTTTTGTTGCAATGCTTAAAGAGTATATTAAATTAATAATGAAAATGCTTCATTTCAGAATTTAAATATTAACTTAACATTATTTGCATCAATTTTCATCTAAATATTTCTTATTCATTTAAAAATCATATGAATATTTTAACTTTAACATTTTGAATATTTAAAAAAACACCTTAGATGTTGTTATTATTATTTGCATTGTGAAGACAAATGATTGTAGACTGGAAATGTGAAGCAGAAGGAAATATTTTCACCTGTGGGTTGCCTACTTGACTTTATTTTGTTGCTAAGAGGATGCTCCTTAAGCTTATAGATAGGAAATGATATTCCTTTTCATGCTCTTTCCTCTTTTTACAACTCAGGCTATAAGATCTAGTCACACATGGGGAAAAAAGTTTCCCCCAATAGGGCATGCTTCCTTCACTCTCAATGTATTGCTTTTTCTCTTAGACTTCTCCTACACAAACTTCATACACACAAACACATTCTCTAGTTTAAATGTTTTCTATGTAATTAGAATTTAAATGTTTTCTTTTATTGTCATTGTATACTTTTGTTAGTCCATACATTGTCGTTTGTTTTATATATTGCTTTGTGTTATTCATTTATTACTCAGACTCATATTAGAATCCGCAATGACTGTTACAGGGGAAAAATATACCAGGAGACACGTATTTTCTACATAAACATAACTAGCATTTCTACAAAACATTTCAACTATTTTTTTGAAATCATTTTCCCTCAAGTAAGGTGATAATGCCATTAAGATATAAGGGGTTACTGGGATATGAAAAGAATGAAAAGACTTTAGTGAGGAAGAAAGATAATAAAAGAACAAGATTCAGGAAAATAGATTACTATTGATGTTGCATTTAAATTTTTGAAGATGGCAGGGAAGCAAGAAATCAGAAGAGTTCCACAGGCAAGAAGAGTGGGAAAAGTTGTTAGAATAGAACTAATGGTTACATCTTGCTTTTTCAACAAAAAACAAATGATGAGACCTAGTTGCCAATCTAGTAGCATGCTTAAATTCATATGGTCAGGGTACCATGAAAATATTTATAGAAAAAAAAAACAGAGAAGCCCATTCACAGTAGTGAGAAAGTGAAGATGCCAGGTCAGGACCAATAACATTACAGACCCTGCTTTGGATTTTGTCAAGAATATAAAGATATATAGTATATAATGTAAATAATGTAAATAATTAGAATACCTCATGTCAAAAAATATAAGCAGATAATGTGTTTTTTTCATTAATTTAACTGTTTTTTTTGGCAAGTATTGTTTTTTGTTAAAAGCTTTATTTATTTTTTTAATCATATAAATTCCTCCACAGGTTGAATCAATTTCTTTTGAATGTATTGAATTTCTTCCTTTTCCAAATATTGAATTCATTTACTTTGAAGTTTTACTCCTCCGACATAATAAACCATAAACTGGTGACCAACAGCATCTTGCCCAATACAAATTGTAGCACTATTTGCTATAATACTCTCTATAATATAATACACTATAATATTCTACATGCAGAAGTGTCCAAGTACTTTACAAATTTTCAACTCTGTCCTTTTATATGCATTCATTGTAATATTTTTCTTTCCTGAAGAAGCAGTTAACTTTAAAAAAAAAAAAAAAAAATGAATGAATAAAAACAAACAAACCATGAAATTTTCTTCCAAATTGCCATAGTTTGAAAGTTGAGAGTGAGATCTGCTAGTCTGGTGATTTTTTGCACAACGTGAGGATTTAGAGGAATGAGGTCGGTTTTCCTGCTTTTTTCGGTCACGAACTGGAAAAAAAATTTCTTTTTAAATTAAAAATCTAAACAAATCCGTAATTAATTACAAAAAGTAAAAAATCTATATTGCAGTAGAAAAAAATCTATATTGCTTACAAAATTGAAACCGACTCAGGAAAGCAGACATATTCAAACATTTAGTAATAATATATTAGATGAAGCACTGTCAGTGAAAGTTATGTAGCTAAGATTTTAAATTTTGTTAGGCTTTGTGGCCAAACTGGTAAAGCAGCTGCTTTGGATAGGTAAGTTTTCTGATAAAAAGTTATTCAAATACTTGTACTTTTTTTCCAGTCTATACAGCTTATTAATGACTGTAGAATTACAATATGACAGATACAATAAAAAGCACAGAAGGTGAAAGAAATACTAGTAAAAGATTAATAACTGATGCTTAAACCTAAGGAATTCCATCAATATAACTAAAATAAAGAATAACATTAGTTAGATTTGAGTTTTGTAATGGGTTGGTCTACATTGCCTTGATTGGTTAGACAGCTGCTCTGGACTTGCATAGTTCCAGAGAGAGAAAGAAAGCACAAACTCAAATCCCACAAGAAGACTTTTCTTTTTTTTTTTCAATTTCTGACATGTACTCTATGCTAAAGATTGTAGAATTATAGTCAGAGTTGGAATAAAAAATCAAAAATAAAATCAAATAAATACTAACTGAAAAATAAATAATCCTGTTTGTTCAAAACTAAAATATGATATGCCATATATGTTGACATCAAGATCACCACTTAAGACAAAATATAAAGGAAAAATATAAAAAAAAAAAGTTGCACCTTCAAAGGCCTCTACCTCTCAAGAGAGGCATTAGCGAACAATATACACCCAAGTTAAATGAATGATGAATGGTATTGTCAATCACACATGAACTGGTAACATTGCTAGATTACCAACTATTCTGTTGCCAAATTGTCAAAAAAATTCTCTTTCCTTATGGATTATACACATGAACAAGGCTGTAGAATGAATCAACCAAAAGAGTATGGTAATAACACAAAAGGATTTCAAATGTCCAAACAAAAGCTTGGAATGTTAATGACTTCTCAAAATGAAAAACAAAAGTCCCTTCCAAATTTTAGCTGGTAAAAACATCTTCAAAGTACTCATGTCTTCAATATCAGAAAATACAATAAATCATTAAAGTCAGTTATCATCAATTTTGTCATTGCTGTTAACTCTTTGACACATTCCTGATGCACTGTTTCCAATGCTTCCAGTTGATTACCAGATCTTTCAAAATCATCTGACAAAACACTGTGACATGGGGACAACATGGCACTATTTCATCTAGTTGTCAAGGAAGTTCCTTGCAGGTTTTCTGTGGGATAGCTCTGGCCAGCTCATAAGTTATGTTATATCTAGGTACCCTAGATGATGAGCCTTGAACATAACCCAGCCATTCACATCATCATAGTTTACAAACTGAATCACATCTTGTCTGTCAATCAAATGCTGATGACCAACAATTACCAAAGACCCTAACAGCATTTTAAAAAAAAAAAAAAAAAAAAAAAAAAAAAAGATTTAAAATATTTCTTGATTCTTATATGCAAATTTGAAGTACCTGGTAGGTTATTGTTTGATGGCTTCAATTAGATTTTGAAAAATGCTAATTCTTAACCCATCCTCAGATATGGGCAGTGTAGATGCAGCTTTTTTAGTCTTGCTAGGATCATACGTTCTCTTGCACAGATGTGACAACATTGGACATCTTTTTCAGCAGTTAATTGTTATATAAATTCCCCATGACTTGTAATGAATGACTTCTCTGCATACTATCTTCGATGATTTTTGAGGCATGCTTGACTCAGGCAGACTCACCTACATTTTGCAGATTATAAAGAAGCATACAAATCGAGTTCTCCTACGGACCATTTCTTTTTTTTGTGGTGACTGTAAGGAAAACAAAGTTCTCAATCTCTCTTGGATATGTCCATTTCCTTTTTCTGGTCCAGAAGTAAGTTAAGATAAGTAAGGATAATAATGGTCGACCTCAGATCAGCTTTGCACAGAGTTGGAATGACCTAATTACTTCAGGAGTCAGGCTGCAATTCATGTCCAAATGCTGTTGTCAGAAAGGGGAAGGTGCTGTCCTTTCTGGAAGTGAGGTCATAAAATTGTGCAGGTGATCAAAAACACTTTCCAGTTACTTTATTAATAGATCATCATCACACAAATTTTCACACAAATACTCTTGGGAAATATATAAATCCATCTCTTCTCCCCCCCCCCACCTATGGGTTAAAAGCAGGGCAGACTGGGCTCTCTAGCCATTTTTGGCAACTAGTATAGGAGTAGGAAAAACTGAATTCATAACTATGTGTAGTCATGGCGAAGTATAAACTATGCAGCCAATAAAAGGATTGCAGAGTTCACAATGACATAGTAATTCTGACTGTGATCGATACAATAGATAACAGAATACATTTATTAAATATTCTGTTATACATTTCAAGTGATTTGTATAAAGAGAACAGTTTTAAGCACATAATGAAGTCTTTATATTTTCATCAATTTTTTATGAGAAATCAAACACAGGAGCTAAAACATTAAAAATATATGCTTAGCAGGAAACAGGTTTACAGTAAGACAAAAAAAAAAAAAAAAAAAAAAAAAGTGACACATTTTTGAATCATACAAAGGAACAAATTACAAAGCATATAGTTCCATACACATCTATGACGAGTGAAAATTTTAAAACTTCTAAGCATTCAGCTTACAACCTGTATGAAAAGATTCTAAATGACTAAGTTTGAAAAAATAAAAACACTAATGACCTTGGGAATCCTGTCCAACACCGATTGTTTTGTAGCTCAGTCAAGAACTGAAAATGTTCTGCTCCATTTCTTTTCTAGAACAGCTGAAGTACAACTGTCTAGTCTCATTGAGAGATCCGAGATGTAAAATCAGATAGATACAATTACACCTACCTTTTTGGCTTTTAAGCATCGAATCTGGAAGCGAATTATCAATACGTGCTGTAATAAAAAATAAAAGTATTAAGGTTTTCTTTCTGAAAAGGGAAATTTTTCAAATTTTTAATAATTATAAAAAATAGCCCAATTCTATCACTTATGCTTGCCGTAATTCCTGATCACTGACAATCCCTTTTTTATTTTCAATGTGTTTCTATCATAAAAATCATTAGCTATGCACATATATATTCTAATTCTGCAAGTAATGCTTCTCTTCATACCTGACGACTGATAATCCCTTTCTTCCTGATTCTCAATTCTGCATTTTAATAAACTAATAAACAATGCATTTACATTATACATACAATGTGCGATGGATAAACTGTCGTCTAAATTACACAAAAACTGGAAATAACACTGACATCTCATTTTAACATATATATTTACCAAAATTACACAAAAATATCTTGAAATACTAAAGAGTAAAGTTATTCAATAAAAAAAAATAAAAATTATATATATATATATATATATATATATATATATATATATATATATATATACTAAACCACGGCCTCCAGATGACTTCAGAACCTCCTGCAGTCTCCTTGTTTAAGTTGGTGAATGCTGCCATAATCCTTGCCTTCAGTTCATCTTTGGTGTTACAAGGAGTTTCATTGGTCTCACACTAAACTGCACCCCACACATTACACTGAGATCAAACAAAAAGAGGCAGAAAGAAAGGAAAAGGAGAAAATCTACTAACTTGATGGTAATTATTGAAATTGCAGGAAGATGGATTGAAAAGTTGAGAAGAAAATTATAAACCAAAATGAGACCTAACTGCCACGCTAGTATTATGCTTAAATTCATGAAGAAAGAAAGCCTATTAGAAAAATTGCCATGAAAATATTTATAGAAAAGGTACAAGGCAGCTACATTATGAAAGTGGGAAAGTGATTGAAGCTGAGATGTCAAGTCAGAACTGATAACATTGGAGACCCTTCTTTGGATTTTGACTAGAATTTAGAGAAATATTGCCAGAGTACCAGACACTGTATGGCAACAATTCTTCCCTGGATTTTTTCAAGAATCTCTAGATAAATGGAAGAAACACCAGGTTATATGTAGCAATAATATTCAATGGAAGGAGGAATAGTAGACTTATAAAGGAGCAAGATAGATTCTAGTGAGAAAACTTCTCAAGCTCAACACAGTGAACCAACTTTCCTAGCAGCAGATTTGTTAAATGACTTGATATACTCCAATTCATATCAGTGGAAAATATTACACAGAGAAGGTGCAATGAGTCACTGTTCTGGAGGTTAGCATCAGCCATACTGATGGAAGGCAAAAAGGGTTCTCTAAGAGAATTAAAAATATCAGTTTAGTTTTGGAGGCATTAAAATTAACAAACCATTTCTTGCCCTAGTTAACAATCACTTGGCAGTCATTTTCAATATCAGATGTCAATATGACTTTATCAAACCTATCAGATTTACCAGGAGTAAATAGTTGGGCCAGAGTCAAGAACTGATGACATCAGGAAGGTCATTGATGAAAAATAGGAACAAAGTGGATCCCTGGATACAGTCATATATAGAAAGATCTAGAAGAATAGCCATTCAAGACAACCTTCATTTCATGAAAGATTAAATCAGAAATTATACTAAATCTCTCAGTAGCCTCAGTTGGAGTTGGTGCTGAAAAATTCTCAGTCTGACCAAGAAGAATGACCTACAGTAATAAAACATGTTAAACCATCTAATCCCTCTACAGCCAAACACTTGATAAAGTTTCTCAAAAAAAAAAAAAAAAAAAAAAAAAAAGGATTTTTGGACACTTAAAAGTTCTCTACCCAACCAAGAAGAATGACTTCAAGCCATTAAACATACTATTCTATACATTCTCCCTGCAGTTCAACACACTTGATATATCATTTCTCAAGTTTAAAAAGAAGTTTAATTTTTGTCCCTTGAAATACTGATTTTGGGACATAGATCAGGCCTTATAAATCTCCCAAAGTTTATGCCATGCACTACCTTACTTCTCTCACAATTATGTTATCCAGAAATAAATGTGTTAGAAATAGAATTGTCAATGACAAATTAGTTTATAATGCACTGAAAGCAGGTAACTCCAAAGGGAATCTGGCAAAATTGCTAATGCTGACCACAAGCTTCAAAAGCAGTGTAACGCTTATCAGTAAATACCAGGACTTGATAGGTAAGTTGTACTAAAAAAAAATCAATATTGAATCACAATTTGTCAATCCTTGCTCAAGGTAAGCATTCAGTTTGAAAGTAATCAATTGCTATTCTTTTCTTGCATTGGTAACACTGGTAGGCAGATCATAAGGCATTCAACCAGAGATTTATGCATTCATGTTGGAGAGTAGTATTAAAAAATAATAAAATTCTGTCATTAAATTTTAGCCAAGCTGATTTATCTCCATTGTCATTATTCTAGCAGTGAGGGGGGGGGGGTGAAAAGGGGGATGCTACTTGTGTCACTCAACCCTGCTTGTGCTTCTGTCATTGACAACTGTGTACTACTAATGTTGTCTTCTTTCTTAATTTGTAATAGGATGCACTTATGAATGAGGAAAATAGTTTCAAACTTGATTTATGTAAACAAAGTACAGAGAACTCTTTATGAAATCAGGGATTCATTTGACTTCTGTATTTATATTATGAAAAAGATCCTACTTCTAATATTATGGAAAAAAATGAAAAAGTTAAATGTGATAGGTTTTAGTTGTTACTGTTGTCAAAAGTCCTTAAGTAATGTGTTTTTTTGTTACTTGGTATAATTCTTTGTAATTATATAGTTCCAGTTCCTGAGGATCAAAGAAGTATGCTACAGGATTCATTCACTTAAAAATTACTTTTAACCATTGATCTGAGAAAGCAGTTGTATTCAGCTGACAGTTTAGATAATTCTGAATGGGTTTGGGGATATACATGAAATCCATATGAAAGTTTGAATCTGACAAAGTTATTTAAGAACATCACTAGAGCTTTTATGTTAATGGCTCAATTAAGAAGGGCAATAAACAGTCGATTAAATATCTGGGCAATATCTATAATCCTTTAGAGGGCTCTCTTGTCAGCTGGTGAGCAGCTAGCATACTAAACGGTGATTCCAGGACCTAATCAATAGAGCAACAATAGACGGTCATTATTATTTTCTTTTAAGAATTCTCAGTAAACAGAGTTGTTGATCAACTATCGCGATAGTATTAATAGAAGCAGAAACGGTGACTATTTACTTAGAATTCTAAGAAAAACATAATTTACAAAAGAAGCTGCTGATGACTGTCTAAATATTAAAAGTGTACAGGCAAATTGTGTCACTGTTAAGTATGTCAGCTGCTCAGCAACAGACAAGAGAGTCCTCCCCAACAAAGGGTCATCAGTTTAATAAATCTTGTTGGTGTTGGTTGTGGTGGTGTAATAGTTGGTTGGTGTTGATAGTGCAATATTCAATGTTTGCATAATAGTTTTTGCTGTAGTTAGTGATGTTATAGTCATTGTTTGTTGTGCTATTAGATTTGTTTTTTGTGATGATTGCATAATATTTATTGAGTGTGCTATTGCTGTTGTTGATGATAGTCATGGTGTACAAGTTGTTGATTTGTTTTTGACATCTTATCAATTTTTTGCCAGTTATTTAAAACCAGAAAATTTTGACTGAATCTTTTGGAGATAATGATTTACTGATACAAGTCCTTCTAATTAACCTATAGCTGGAGGGAGAAGAGGTGGATTTATACCTTTTCCAAGGGTATTTGCACATAAGTGAATATAACTAACACAACTGAAATTGGAACTCAGCCCTCTGATTTCCAATTCCAAGCAATTATCCATTACACCACCTGCATATCCAAGCTTACAGCACCTGATAAAACCAAGCGGCCAATGGATTAAGGAAAGTCTAATGAATGCTAATCTAAAAAAAACTATTCCCTACAAAATTCTTCCTATTTATTTTTTTAAAATGTAGAACAAACAATATAAATAGTACCAATTCTTATAATCTTTTACTGTATCCATGAGCAAGGAAAAGTATGCACAATGTTTTTTATTTGATATTTTATACAATTTTACATAACATTGGTCATTTGTGTGCAGATGTCTCAAATTCAACAAAATTATGTTCTTTAAATGCAATTATCTACAGGAGGGAACTATTGGATTTAAGGAACATACTCTCCCCACAATTAGTTCATTAAATTGAGGCTTTACTGTATAGCATAGTCATTGAAATACATGATTTTGGGAAGTGTGTTGGACTAAAAAATTTTCAGCACCTCCTTGTCAACTGTGATGCCGATAGCCAGAAATTTCAGTACAATACAAAAGAGAACATAAATAAACTTTGTTTTATTTTTGTTGCCTTTTATCACAACTTTTACACATCGATTCCATTGTAAGAATATTCAAATATCTTACATGAACCAATGTCAATTATTGTCAACTAGGACCGTAAGTTGTACTTATTAAGTACAACAGGGGGTTACACTAAATAGCAACAAAACAAATCTATTTGATAAAAATTATGAAAGCTTTTCAAATCAAGCACTTACCTTTGGCATTTTGAAGCTTATTGTAGTGGTGATTTAAGTTCGTCTTGACAATATACTGCGTCATTAGTTTACTGGATGTGGGAGAAAGCACTGCAGAAAGAAAGACTCATTTAGTTGGCTAATAAAAAAACTATCATCAATCAAACCAAATCAATTCTGAACATGTGTGAACTAGTTTAACAAAAAAATAAAAGCAACCATTTGTTCTACACTACCCTTTCCATGCAAAAGAAAATAGGCTAAAACAGTCATTTTTCAAAACAACATTTTTCTGGTAACGGAAGCTTATATTCAATTACTATTTCTAGCTTTTTATGCTATTTTAGAGTATAACAAAAGGGTGGTAAGCCTGGTTTAACTTTGCACAAGAATGTCTATTGATGATTTGAATTAAGATTAAACAGTGAAAAAACTCTGGGAAACTAAGTGTTGAGGAGAATAAGGAAAAAAACAGATTAAAATCAATAATTAGAAGCCATAAAATAAATTCAGAGAAAGTTCTGGGAGAATTTGAACCTGAAATAAATCAAGTAGAATTCATTAAAACTTAGACTAAATCTTCCCAAATCCACCTAGCCACCACTGGAAAAAATATGACCAACATCAATGTCTTCTGAAAATTTCTCAAATTCCAAAGAAACATTCTCAGGTTGTTTACATTGAATGCTAGCCCTCAAAAATGTTCAATTCATTACCAAAATTCAGGTTTAAGATTCAAGCTGAACGCGTTCAAAAAAAAAAAAAAAAAAAAAAAAAAGTTATGCATTATTGCACAAAGAAAGTCCCATTGAATAACTTGATGGATTATCAAAAATATGACAAATCAATGTCAGGTTTGAAGAAATTTCCTTATATAAACATGATGACTAAATAAGAAGCTGGAGAGAAAAGTCCATATTCCACAGCTCAGACTCATCATGTTGTTCCTGCTTCAATCACAACAAAACTACTGCTACAGACAAAACCCCTTCTAGATAAAAACACAGTGTGAGAATCAAAAGTGCCTTAGAATTCTACAAATTGTCACTAGGAAAATTCCCTGTCAACTTTAAGAATTCTTTTGTTCATTAGACCTGTTGTTAGTTATTAACAGAGTTTGTTGGCTAGTTCTGAGGAGTTGGTTTTCAGCAGTGATAAAGTAGTTAACACAGCTCAATAATTCTCATCAGGTATACAATTACAACACCTATCACAAGGTAATATCACCATCAGTTGACAATGTCAGGAATATTATTTTTTTGGTAGCACTGGGACACTGACCAGTTCTTAAGGGCATCATTTTTGTATTATAACAAGTAGATGCTTGCAAAGTGATAACACTTAAAAAGGCCTGATATCCAAGGTTGCAGTGAATGCATTAAAAATGATATCATCTGTTTTTGTATGTGTTGTGAAATTAGCACTGTTCTACTTAATAATCAAAACCACAGTTATCTTCAGTTTGACAACTGAATTGTCTCTGCAGAAATCTGGCATCCAAGTCAAAAATCATTTACAGAGAGAAAGAAATCCAATGTTATTCCCACATGAGAAAAAGTGAAGTACATGAGTAACAAAATCAATAAGATTAAAAATATACATCCAAATACAAGGGATAATCAATAATTCCTTAGCTTGACATAAAGATGAATTTTGACCTGAAATTTTTTTTATCTATATGATTAATATTCATTACTGAATTAAGTGCACTAACAAGGAATGAGATAATGTTTCTTTTTTCATCATTTGACTAGACTCTTTGATGTATCTACATAACATGTGGAATAAAACCAATAGATTATGAAAACATTATATGACTGATATTAACACAAAAATCAGCAAACATAATTGAAAACTCAGACAGCTTTGAATAGATCACATTCTAAAAATCTGAAAAGATACTTTGAACACCATTATTATTATTATTATTTTATGAAGAAAATATATCCTGAACATATCCAGTCATTTTGAATATCTCAAGAATCAGTTGCACAGCCTTGATATAATTTGGTAACCAATCAGTGGACTATACTGCATATACAGACACTCTTCCTGGGGGTTACTCAGTCAAAAGTGGAGAAGTATTAAATGAGCTTCTGTACTGTGTAACTATCACATTCACAAAGACTGAGCAAGTAGATTCTTTGCATCACCAGCAGGAATTTTTGGAAAATATCACATTACCCAGGTCTTTCATCCATGGACAATATTAAGGATGCAACAAGGCAGCTAATGGTTATCCTGAATGAAGATCCCAAATAGAGTACTTTGAAGAGGATAAAGGCATAACAACCCTAGGTTAGGCTAAATTTACATTAATTTTATATGGCAAGATACTTTTTGAACCGACCATGTACATAGATATCTTATTAATATGCTAAGAAAATGATCAAATGGTTTGCTGACTTTTGTTGGAGGTTTCATATTCAAGTTCTTTTTGAGGTTTTTTAATCACTTCACCCCAAGCACAGCAATAATGCCACAAAGATGCAAGGGGGTACTGGGAGTGAAAGAGGATGAAAAAGACTAAAAGGAACCAGAAACCCAATCCTAAACAGGAAACAAAGGATAAACCTCTACTCATGTTAAAAAAGATTGGGGAGGAGTGTGAACCTGATGATAGGTAAACCTATCTACTCCTATTGAAGAAAAAATTTTAATAATAAATAGTAAATTAAATTTCAGAGTTCAGGCAGAGATGTTAGAAATATAGAGTTGAAATTGGCATTAGAAGGACCTAGAAACCCAATCCTAAACAGGAACAGTAGCATGCAGAAGGAACTGGCAGGATGGTCTTACTGCCCAGGGCATCCATATCAGGATGACATCTAATTAAAGAGTGAAATAAAAATTTAGTTTTTGAAATTTGAAATTGTTAACTTTGTTGTACAAGTGCCCTACAGGCACCAAGCTGGTGTGAATGCAGATCTGTGCTTTGATAAGAGAGACAGGAGTAGGTCTCTCTACTCAAGTCTTAGGGGCATACAATCAAGGAGCTAGCCCCAGGCATCACCAAACCTCTGCACATCACTGAACCGGAAACAAGTGATAACTCTCTACTCCTCTTCAAATTAGTAGTTAGGAATTTGTCTTGACTTTCAAGAGATTCTGGATACTTTAACACAAAGGGAATTTTAAAAGTTACTAGCCAATCTGAAATAAACAGAAAGTGAATACAGTAATTTCTCTACAAATAGGTTACATTTGTGATTAAAATGCCAAAACAAAAATATCTGTTCATAGGATCTGCCACTGATTATGATGTTATAAGGTCAGAGATTATGCTTCATTCTTATAGGGCTGGGGGTGTTGTTGATGCATAAAGAAAAAAAATGATCGCATGTTGATTTCAATCCAACAGGAATGACTACAGAACATGTACCCCTCCCCTTTTATAGGCAGAAGTACACAAATGCATGTTGGCAATTTTTTTTCTTAGCCAATGAAATAGGCCAGTTTGCAGTTTGATATGACTCATTCCCAATCTGCCTTATCTAGAAATTAAAACACTATGTTCAATTGCTTTTGTAGGTCAACACCAATTCTTAGTTTGTTATCTTTTTGCCTTATTACAGACATCCCTTGATTAATACAGTAAAAACATTCTTCAACTAACCCTGGTAATTGAAAATTATTTTTTTATAGTTACTGATGTACTAATCAAGACATTCCTGTACTGTTAATTTGCCTTTACATATATTGTTAGCTTGCTTGTTTGATATTATTTCAATATTTGCCCTGTTTCTTCTTTTTATTGCAAACTTTGTTAATTTTGTTTGTTGGACAGTTTTGTTCTTTATTTTGCATTTGACCATGGCTACTCACTCCACACCTCAGGAAACAGGAACATTATACTTAGAGGAAAAAAAAAAAAAAAAAGATTCAGAGGATTTGGCTCTGGCCAGTCAAAGAAAATAAGAATGTTCTTTCTTTAGTGATACCAATCTAACCAAAAGTCTGAGATATTTGCCCAAGAGGTTTGAATTTCCCGTCTAAATGTATGCTATCTGATTCTTTACCCCTTTAATTAACTAATTTAAAAACTTTTTTCTCTTTTCCTGTAGATGTAATTTCTTTATTCATGGAGTCAAAATCACCATGAACAGACGAGACATGGAGAATGTTGAACAATTCTCATACATTGCTAGTGCACTAACATCAAATGTATCTGCCAAAAAGACTTCGATAACTAAATCAAGGCCACCCAAGCAGCATACATGAAGCTATTCAAAAGAGTTTTCAGCAATCCTGGACTAACACAAACCACTAAACTCATGATCAACCGAACTGTCCTAATCTTAATTCTCCAGTACGCCTGTGAGACCTGGTTACTCTACAGAAGAAATATCCACATGAAAAATTCCATCAAATGAAACTGTCAACTCCTGCGGAACACATGCTAGGATCAGATCACAGATAACAAAATCCTCCTCTGCACAAAGACAGACAGCCTAGAAACCATCATGATTCGCCACCAACTTCAATCTTGTCCAAATGCCAGACATCGACCAACTTAAACAAATGCTCTTCTCAGAACTTACATGTGACATGGAACCCCAAGCCGTCAATTCAAGGATCAGCTCAAAAACACCTTGCTGGGGACAGATATCGATCCAGTCAATTGGGAGATAGAAGCTGCAGAAAGAACCAAATGGCGAAGAGCAGTCCGTGAAAAACAACATCCTTCAAAAATACCAGAAGACAAATAAAAGACACGAAGAGAACCCAAAGAGAAAACCAGAACTTTCCATCTCCTGAACCCTCCCACTCTACCATTCAGTGGCTGCAGATGTTTCTTCAGATAAAATGTAGGTCTGATTTCACACTGAATGAAATGTCAATGAGCACTCCAACACTCAGTGAAGAGTTTTGCCAACAACTTTCTTTATTGCATTCATTTTAATTACACACACTATATATATATATATATATATATATATATATATATATATATATGATAGATAGATAGATATTTAGTGTATTGGGACAGCAGATCATTATTTAAACATATATTGTTAAATATAACAGACAGTGAATGTCCGTTATGTTTGATCATCAGCCGTTCTAATGTTCGTATGTTTGCTTTAATTTCGGGTGAAAATAAAGACAAAAATTGTCCAACATTTGGATATTTTTTTTATCAAGTTGGTCCTTGATCTAAGCTTTCGGCTCACATGAACCATCTTCAGAGTGGTTATACAAACATTTTATTCACTGTTGAAGATAATATTTTATGTTGACATAGAAGATTGCTATACAATGACAATGGTCGCGGAATAGCAGATGCAGTTCATAAGTTCAAGATGTGGTTCCATGACATCATACCACGACAGAAGCTGAAATATTAACAACAGAACCATATGTCTTGTGACTAGTTTGAAATGTAATTTTGTTGAGTGTGAGTTGCTTTGTTTTAATGTAGATAACCTCCAATATCTGAATGTTCTTTTTACAGCATGTATGTGTGAGTATTATTGTGTTATCAACTAATATCTGTCTAATATTATGTACATGGCTATGTTTTTCTAAGAAGTGTTGTTTAATAAAACTAAGATCAGAAAAGTGACAGGCAAGTCTATGAGAGAGTATGGTTGTAGTAAAACCAATATATGTAATGGGTTTATTATTAGTATCAGAGATACAGTCTTTGAATGGGCATGTAAACTGATACACTACATTGGTTTTTTTGTAGAGGATTTACTTGTGTGACTGTAAGGTTACTAGAGATTATGAGGTCAACTGTTATAAAATTTTTATAATATATGATGAGCTTAACATTTCTACCTATTATGTTTTTGAGTGTTGTTTCATCATGCTTGTAATTTTTATTAATATTATCAATTTTGTTAGAAGTTTATGGAGTTACATTTTAATTTGTTTGCCATATCCGGACGTCCTTCTTAGTCCACTTGTCAGGGATTCTATTGTAATAAGAAATATACATACATATATACATACATATATATATACACACACACACACACCAGCAGTATAACTCATCTTCGAACAGGTCTTTCATTACCAAGAATTTTTACCATTCAATTGAAGCAGTTTCTCCTCAGCCGTTGAGTCCTTTGATCAGCAGTTTCAGTCTCGTGCACATAAGCGTTCAGGTATGCTCTTCTGGAAAGCCGATAGCTACATTGATCTTCGGGCTCAGTTGCTCTGATCGAAGCATTCCGAGAGGCATTTTGAGACAGGTAAACTGAACATTCTAAAGATGATTCGTTATCTCTTATTTGCATGGCAGACCTGGCGCACAGTGTTTTTTGCAACATAGGCAAGTTCTTCTTTTTGGTGGCATGTCTTAGGCAAGTATGAATTGTCAAATGCAATGCGTGGACAAATACCAGAAGAGAACGCTGTAAAGCTACAGGGATCACTAAGCTCGAATAACTTTAGGAAAGGTTGGGAAAATAAATATGGAGTAATAAAAATGCAAGCTTACTTATTACTACAGTGAATGCAATGCAAAAACTGGCAGGATAAAAAAATTTAATTTGGGAACAGCTATAAATGACAATGAAATCAATGCCTTAAAAATGTAGTAGTAGGCTTTATGCAACAGAAAAGGTAACCTCACTTGAGACAGATTGTAAGCTTGGCCAAGAGAAGGGGAATATGTAATTTGGACTCAAAACTGGCATTGAAGAATTATCTATCAAACAAAAAACATTTCATTGAAATTGGATGAAAACTGTGGAAACACATAAACAACATTGGATCACACACATACACACACATTTTGAGAATTATAGATATAGATAATATTGTAATAATTTAAATTATTTATTTTTTATTAAAGTTTTATGAAAGATATCTATCCAAGAACAGACAGTAAATAGTAAAATGTTGCTGAGAGTTATAATGGACAGGAAATAGTGGAGAGCCATTGTTGCCAACAATTTGGACTCAAAATTGGCACTGAAGAATTAACTATCAAACAAAAATTCATCAAAATTAAATGAAAACTGTGGAAACACATAAACAACATGCAATCACACACACATACATACACACACACAATTTTGAGAATATATATATATATATATATATATATATATATATATATGGAGGCACAGAGGAGTAATGGATACTAGTTTGAATTGAGAAATCAGAGAGCCGAGTTCAAATTCCAGTCGAGTTTATTACATTCACTTACATACTAATACTCTTGGGAAAGGTATGAATCCATCTCTTCTTCCCCCCCCCCACCAGCTATGAGTAAATAACTGGACAGACTGTGTCCCTATAGCCTAGGCTGGCAAATTGTCTAGGAAATCGACAACTCTAGATTCTAAATCTGTGGAGGGACATTCGAAAGCCTTGTGGCATGCTGTGCAATAGGTTTCTGTATTCAGCTCATCCACAAAGTGTGGTTGGTTCTGCACAAGCCTTCATCACTATAAACAAATTATGTGCAGGTAGTCTGGCTGTTGGTTCTAAGAACCAAGATGCTTGACCTTCATATGTTGTTTTAGACAAGAGTCCTGTGTGTGTGTGTGTGTGTATATATATATATATATATATATATATATATGTCTATTTGTGGATGACAATATATACATGTTTCTAAAAAAAATTATTTCGGTTGAGCTCTCAGGGAAAAATTAGTGAATTTGTAAATAGTGACTATTACTGCTGCTGATGCAAGACTCTTCGTTCAAACGAATTGAGTTTTCCCAGTCACAGGTGTGTTTATCTAGAAATAAATACATCTAAATTCACCTTCATCCCTGCCATGCACCAAGTATAAGTAGTAGTAATAATAATAATGCTTCCTGTAGCTGCATTTAATGGATTTGCTACCTAACTGGCATTTCTTTTTTGGGGGGTGATTGACAGATCTTTAAAGTGAGAAGTTTGTTTTGGGGTTTCTAACTTGTAAGAAAAGAAGACTAAAGAAAAGAAACTTGTTTGTAACTTTGATTGTAAATATTTCTTTCTTTCCTTATCTGCTTCATTTTCTAAGTAGGCAAATTTTTATAAAGTGTGTTTGGGCCTGCCCCACACACCAGAGATCATTTTATATTTCTCATCAATGTCAGAGATCAATGTTCAATCACAGAATATAGAATGCTGATTTTGTAATCAGGCAATTTCAATCACTTGAAACACTGACTTAACTAATCTGGTTTCCATTTCCCTCTATTTAACTTTCTACCATACAAAGCTCAAGAATTATCTTTCCAAGAGGAAACCTATCACTTTTTTGTGCTTCTAAATAAAACACAAGGTCAAAACTTTTCAATGTATTGAACCGTTCCTTAATGAGAACAAATGAAAGAGGATTAGCAAAAAGGAAAAATATGGGAGAGGAATTACCAACTTAAAACAGCTCCTTGACACATTTTTTTAATACAAGCAGTTAATCTCAGCAGGAAAAAGATCTCAGCTCTCAACTGAAGATTAAACAATCTGCGAATTCAGAAAGCTTTGTGAGAACAGTAACATCTGGTTCACATAACACATTAAGAAAAAAATTTAAAGTCTTCATTATCTGAATCATAACAAATGCAAGTTTACTTATACATACATGTGCTCTGTAGTGGGTTTTTCATGCCAGTCATCTTGTAATTTCAGATGCCAATCTGTAAAAAAGTAATTTGCTTTATTTTTATATGGCAGAATAAAAAAAAAGATACATGGAAATATTTATTTTTAAAGTTCAGTTAAGATTATTTACATTTGGACTAAGGTTCTTATCTTTGCCATTATCACAAGGTTTCTGCCATTATACTCTCCAGAATTCTTCAGGTGTCTGTCAATCCAGGTCGACTTCATAGAATTACAAACTGAGCTATTTATTTTATCTATGGATGTAGATCATTCTTATTCCACTGCCTATCTCTAAGGAGATCATGTCTTTTTTTTTTGTTTTTTTTCCATTATTATTGCTTGCTCTGTTTCCATTGAGACCAAGTCTACCTGGCCCAGTGATTGAACTCACAATTACCATGCAACTAAAAAAAAAAAAAAAAAAAAAAAAATGAGATATCCCTAGACATGGACAGCAAAATGCTAACAATCTACCCCCATAGATTGAATAAAAATTTTTCTACTTTCTTCCTCCAGGAAACAAGAATTCTCTCTATTAGACACCTTGCTACTTTTTTTTTTTTTTTTTTTTTCAAATAGTTTTTCACTTCCTCCTCTAAGGAATGAACAAAATAGTACTACTCTTGATTTTTTTCCCTCCTAAAACCATTCAGTCATCAATTGTTTGCACTCAAACTACTTGGAAATCTGTTTTTTCAACCCTGTAAGAACCATATGCCTTTATTTCAACATTCCCACTTGAGAGGACAATAAAAGAATACGATTCAAGGAGACAGAAGATAACAATTGATGTTGCATTTAAATTCTTGAAGATCATAGTTGACATAAAAACAAGAAGTGTGAGAGAAAAATAGAACTCAATTACACCTAGCAATTTCAACAGTAAAAATGATGAGACCTAGCTACAAGTCTTGTACTATGATTAATTTCATACCAAAAAGGAAAACTCAGCAGAATAATTAGCATGAAAATATTTATAGAAAAGGCACAGGGAAGCCACAGTACAGTGGTGGGAAAGCAATATTCAATGCACAGATAAATGATAAACTTATAAAAGGTGCAAGATAAATTCAAGTGAGAAAATTGTCTAGCATGACATGATGAACAAACTTTCCTAACAGCAGACCTAGTAAATGACCCATCCCAATTCATATCAGTGGAAAAATGTTAGATCAAGATGCAAGGAGTTACTCTCCTGAGGTTAATATCAGCCATGCTAATGGAAAGCAAAACAAAACAAAAAAAAAATTATCCAAGACAATTAAAAGAGAGCAGTTTAGTGTTTGGAGATACTAAAATTAACATAGCATTTCTTGCTCCAGTTAACAATAGATTGGCGGTCATTTTCTATATCAGCTGCCAAACCTATCAAGCCTACTAGTAACACAGGAATTAATAGTTGTGACAATGGCTGCTTCTTTGCATCTTGATGCAATTGAGCAATTGTAGAACTATCAACTCGCAAAGTACAATGCCAAAACATGCCAGAATAAGCTAAAATTCTACACCAAAGATGATAGCAACTATACTCATCAATATCAGGAACATGGGATAAATTAAAACAGGGCCACAAATTTTTATAGTGAATGAAATAAGTGATTGCAGTTGAAATTGAGCCGGCTGCAAATTCATCAGAATCTTTGGAATTAGGAGCATCAGTTGGGCTGAAGAGAAACAGGGTAGGAAAGCTGGTTTTTAAAAGGATAAAGGAAATCCCAGAGTCAGCAGGTAATCCAAGTAAGTGGGGGACCTGTTCTCAATATGTGGCAAGCTGGAACTCATTGCCCTATTGCTGAGGACTACATGTAGCAACATGAAAGTGAGCAAAGAGAAGAAAAGCTGGGGAGAAAATAAAGGATATGTTGAAGGAGATTATGAAAAATCTTGCTGCTTGCAAAATTTAATTGCATCCAGGACAAACAATAAAAAAATATATATATATAAAATTGGGGATAAAGAACAAACAAACCAACCAACCACTGAAGTGAATGAATGAATGAGGTCAACCATAGTCCAGATCATCAAGTCAATGTGAATGATCCTTAGCTGCATAGTATGTGCTTCACTAGGGCTACATACAGTTTTGAATTCAGAGTTATCCTACTAGACTGGTTGCCAACCATGGCTACAGAGCTTAGACTGCCCTACTATTTACCCATAGTAGTTTGATACAAAATTACAAAAAGACACACACACACAAAAGGAAAAAAAATTAGGAGTTAACTGGTTATCATTCATAACTCGATTCAGGAAAGTAAATATTTGTACACAACCAACTAAAAAGTAACATGAAAAAAAAAAAATACATCCCGTGTCGATAATGTACTGAAAACAGAATATTTTACAGACAAATCACACCGAGTATGAGCAAATATTCCTTCTGCTTCTATAGGGAAATCTGTCAACAAAGTGAAAATCATTTCTAAGACGTTCAAGAGATAATCAGAATGTGACCAGTACAGAACTGAGAACATGTCATCTCAGTACAGCAAGGTACACTATTTTGTACGAGGTGTTCTGTGATTACAGATCTGGACGTAACAGCAGACTTAATGCAGTCAACTTTTCTTCAATATATACCAGAATATAATGAGCAATTCTCATTTCAAGCAGCTGAGTGGTCCTGCCCATGTAGTCAGTTTCTCACTGATATTTAAATGACCAAACTTGTTTTAAAGAGAGGCAGCCTGTCATTATAGACAGATTTTAACATATTACTATAATTAAGATTATGGTATAAGATTTAAATCCTATATATATATATATATATATTTTCAACTAATAAAATCCCATCAGAAGGTTTGCTTCATAAACAATAATTGCAAGTGCAAATACTGACAAAATACTTGCGGATGTAGTTGTAGACATATGTGTTATTTTCGGACCATTTAGTAAATAACAATGACTCCCTACACCCCTCCCACAAATTCAAGAAAGATTTATGCAAACCAAAGTGAAATTATTTTCTGACCAATGAAAACCATGTATTCAAAAAGTTCACACCCTTATGGATATAAAAATAGAAGCATATTACTTTTCGAGACTCACAACAATTATGGAGGCAAATTGGATCTACACGCACACAATGGAAGAGAGACAGCCAGCAGCTACCATCTAAGGCCTTGTTCACACTTACAATAGAAGTGATTAACCAGCAACTGCCTACTAAGCCTTTGTCTATGAACTCACAAACATATTAGGCTGACCGTAATAAAGTAAGTTTGTTCACACATTTCACTAAAAACACTTAATTACTTTATAAAACAAACTTCACTACAAGGAAAATTTAACATTTTATTGGTATTGTATATTTCTGAAAAGAATATGTAAATGTTATTTCAATTGACATTCTGCTTCTACTTTTCCTCCAGAAAATAACCTTTTTTATATTTCCTTTTAAAGATATGCCGTTATTAAATGTTTAGAATCCCAACACTCAGATAGTAACTAAAACTTGGGTAGACAGACCCCAACAATGGAAAGATTAAACAAGGATGATCCAATGCAATGGTGCAGGTGTTTACCAAAATTAAATAGTCGATTCTATGATGTGATGCCAGTCATGTAGCAATAAGTGCTATTTCAGAGCTAAGTGTCATTAAAGCAGATGATGTAACATGGCTGAAGAAAAAAAATGGTTATGGTTACATTAATGTAGCAGATTAAAAATCAGTGCTGAAGAAAGTGAATTTGGTATTCTGATGAGGACTGAGAGAGACTGAAATCCAAATGGACTTGGCTACTAAGATTGGATGACTGAAATCCATCATTACAACTATTTGATTGTTAACTGACATTTAGGGATCTTGTTAGAATTGATGAGGGAATGCAAGCTGCAATTAATATCCATACCCATTTAGAGGAATAATACCAGAGTGAGGAAAACTTGGGGTGGGGTGCAGAGGATTGATAACAGCTACAAAATGCTATCCTGTACATATAAACTTGAAAGAATTGCAAAACATCCATTATAGAGTGGTGAAAAGAAAGTTTTATTCCTGGCCAGAAAAATTGACATGAAATTCTAGATTGTTAAAAAAAAAAAAAAAAAAAAAGTTCAAATAACTTTGTAAAAGTCAGTCATTGATTTTACATGTTATCAATATTATAAAGAAGATCATCCTTCTAAATTGATAAAAAAAAAAAAAAAAAAAAATCAATATACTTTTCTTTTTCTTTTTTGAAATTGTTATGAAAGATGCTGCTAAACAGGTAGCAAAGAGTTTTAATATATGCCGGTCAATTGACTCCAGATTGTGTGTATAGGAGAAGGGAGAAATTAAAGTGAGGGACAATTGGTTGTTTTGATTTTGTTTGGTCTGTTTTACAGCATATCAACCTCAATGGGTTATTTAATGCCGACAAGATTTTTACTGACGGTAATAATTTTTTACAAAAATGTATTGCTGGTATTAAAACCTATTTTTACACTTTTACAGTGCTTTGACCCCAGTTTGGGGGCTTAAATACTTGCCCATAGCTGGGACTCTAACAAGTGCTACCACCCCAGATCAGGGTGAATCTGGGAACACCATCAATTAAGAGGTGGTTCCACACTCCTCAAAACCTCCTGATCAGAGGCCTTGTTGTCAGATGTAGTTTATCATCTTACTCAGGATGCAGGACAATTGGAAGAGATTGCCTACTGGCATGATTTAATACTGACAGCAATTGTATTTCTCAATGACCAACCATGCACCTGGAGGAGGAGAGAAATTAGGGCTGAAACAGCAACTGAAATTGAAGGTGTCAAACAGTATATTCTTGGAGTGGGGATTAGTGGATGAAGTATTAATGGATAATTGTACTACTTTTCACTAAGAACTGTCCAAAAAGTGGAATATTAAACAGCACTAGTTAAATAAATGGGTTCACTCAAAAAAAAAAAAAAAAAAAAAAAAAAAAGGGGGAAATTTTTTCAGGGAATAATTTGGGCAGGTTAGCATTCATCAGACCTTCGAAGCTGCAACATTTGTCAGAAAAAAAGAAAAAAAAGTATATT